TATAGCAGAGCGCGTCGTGTAACGCAACCACAACCACGAGTTTATAACATGATCCGAGAGGAACTGGCACTAGTAAAACAAAATGGCGCCTGAAAGCCACGGAGAAAAAAAGGATGATCTGGCCTTTTTTACCCTTCCCACTCACTCACTCACTTGGTCGCCCGAAGGCGGGCAACCACTAGATCTTTCCACAGCCTCTTATCAGCCATCAGTACAGCAATCTCACTTGCTTCGAATGCCCCAGTATCCCTCTTAAGAGTGTCAATATAGGTAGTATTCGGTCTTCCTCTCCCGCGATGACCATGTGTGGGCTCCCATAGGACTAATTTCTGGGTACTTAACTCTGGATGGCGATAACAGTGTCCCGCAAGTTCTAGTCTACGAGAGGCGATTTTGTTGGTAACTGCTGGTAGATCTCCGTACAGTTGTTGGTTTGGTTGTTGGTTTTACCCTCCAAATGGGTTAAACTTTCAGTTTTGCTGATTTCATTTAATTTTTTTATTGCTCCAAGTTGATCCGAGGCCAATTTTATTTTATTTTTATTTTTTTATTCGATCGGAGTTGGTCCAAGTCGATCCGAGTTGATCCGACCCGGACTGGCGGTCCGAGTTGATCCGGTCCGACTTTTGTACCTGCCTTATCCATAACTCAGCAGTACACGATGAAGCGTTTACCATGTGTTTTATAAGGAAATTTAAAAGGAAAGGCTTGAATTTATTAACTGATAGGGAAAAGAGGTGAGTGTTGTTGTTGTTGTCATCTCCGCGAGCCGTTCCAAAGTTCTTTTCTCTCAATAACAATTTTTTGGTGAATTACATGATAGTTTTCCGGCACCTAAATATGGATTTTACAATCATTTTAGAGAAGACTTTCTCTCAGCTTCAGGATAAAAACATAAGCTTAACTGTGAGGAAAAAAAAACATAGTCACGTAAACATTGATGCGTACTGCTTTGAGCGTGCCCTAGGATAATAAAATTTTCAGTTAACTGCTGCATTGATCGCTTTGATAATGTTATAAAACAATTAGTTCATGCTTCAGCAGTGCATATGTCGAGATATTGAGCACTTGGGAAGTTTGGAGAGCACTCAAGAGGCTAGAGTTGCACTCAGCTGCGCCTTGTGCAACTCTTACGCCTCTTTCGTGCTCTCCAAACTTCCCGCATGCTCAATATCTCGACATATGCATGATGACACATGAACCAATTGTTAAATATAAAACAAAAGTATATCCCAATGAAATAAATAATGGCAAAATATCAATAAATGAAATTCATATGAAAATATAAGAACCTATTTTATGAACCGTGGTAGCCTAAATTTGCTTAAGTACCATCTCCTGTAAAAATAAACGCGTGATCACAGCGTGATCACGGGTAAAAACTTTTCACGCGTGATCACGCCATGATGGTCGTGTGATCACAAAAAATATTGTGATCAGAAATTGAAGGCATGATATCACATTGTGATCACGGGCACGGGAGTTATGATCACGCCTTAACGCCTCTTGGAATGAGCACGTTACCTTCACGCTAGCAATGCCCCTAATAACACGAGTTTTAAAAAAAGACAAAATATTAGTCATCATCAAATCTCTACTATATTTAGTTAATAATAAACGATAATCTAACATACAATAATATTTTTTAGTTTTGTGTAAGGGTATATGATATGCCAGCTCTAACGGTTATAACAGTTTAAATGACATAAGGAAATGCGATAATAAGCACTTATATTAGGGTTTAATTCTGGTTGAATTCGTATTTGTTACTCAACGCCGTCATTTTTAAACCACAGCTCTTCAACAGTCATAACATATTGTAAAATTTTCTAAGTTCATCTCTCAGGACAACGTTTTTAATTACAGTTCAGTACTTCAACAGTTCAATCTTAATGGTTTTCTTTTATCCCTGCCCAAAGAGTACATCTGTTGTTGCGCACCATTCTGCACTTTTCATCAATCGCTTTCTTAATTGTAGGCCAGTTGACTTCATTGGGGAACATCCTCTCTGTGTGCTCTCTTACTGCAGACAGTCGGTTTGGGTCTTACTGGTGAAGTTTCTCTCCTTTACCCTCAACACTCCCTTCTTTTGCCTCTTCACGCCGAAACACTAACTCAAACAATTTAAGGGCAAAGAGTTTGGGGCTGCTCCTGGAAAGAAGGTCAACTTTCTTTTTGGAGAGATATATTCTTCTGCTTGTGGAGCCAACCAGTATAGTGACATCGGAATTGTCAACTTTTTTATCAGTGCTCTTCTGGATGGAAATAACTTTTTCATTTTTCTGGGCTAGAGGGGTTGAAGAGGAGACTGGCGTTGGCATTGGCGTTGAGGCTGGATGAGTGGCACGATATTCTTCCGTTTTTTTCCGCCTAGTTGCAAGGTCCTCAAGGCTAACGTCGTTATCATCCAGGGATTTGTAGAATTTTTTGACAAAATTTACATTTCACAAATTTTGCCACAGTATCACTCAGCTGTTGTAGTTAACCAGAGACTACAGACATCTGCTTTAGAAGGTTATCGACCTTTATTTCAATTTCTCCATGACTGGTTGCCTCTATAAAAGAGGAAACACAGAATCATGTGGTTTAAAAGGTTTTGAGATTTTTGCCATATAAGAGTAAAGAATAAACTCGCCAATACTTATATTCTTCGCATTATTTATTCATTTATTTATTTATTCATTTTGCCTTGAGAATGGTGTCATGATGATACCAAAACGTCAGCTTTTAAGGTTAATATTCGAATACTTATGTGAAATAGGAATTATTTTTATTTAATTTCAGTTTTGGTGGGTTAATCATGATGTTTGCTGTAACACCAAACTGCAAACCTTATTTATTCCGATTTTGCTTACTTGATATAATTCCTATAATCCTTAAATCAATTCAGAAGAAACAGAAGAAGAATCAAAATCTCTTACTCACTGTAAATTGAAATATTTTTAAGTTAAAATGCAAAACGGTTGAAAACAGCAGTCTTTTGCCGTTCTACATCATGCTAATGACCTCTCAACTATCTCGTCTATGATTACGTGACTATGTCTGAATGATCTTTTCAAGAACTTTAAACTAAACAATCACCAAGGGTGTAATGTTGATCTTATGTTGAGATGCTGAATTATTGATCGTATCAGAGCCCGGCCTAATCTTTCTATAGTGCATTATAAGTCATTGAAATGACGAATCTCCAGAATGAGCCCTGTTATTTAAAACGTCTTTTCTGCTTCGCCACAAGTTGTAGGAGTTAAGGTTTAATGTTGGCTCACTGATTTTCAACATTACATTACATTAATCATGCTTATTTTGAAAATAATAGTCACCAGTAGGAAACACAAACTCCTCAACTTGAGACTTCAAGTACTTACGTCTATGCAAAGAGTTTCCTATTAGGTGTAAGTATAAAATACGAATTCTTTCTAGTTTTGTAGCGGGGCTAGTAAAGGAGTGGTCATAATGTACGTACTCAGTACCAGAAGCCTTCGGTTCAAATGTCAGCACAAGTAATGTTCACACGTCAGTACCGGCAGCTATTTATTTTTCACACGAAATTATATTCACAGACTGTCAGTCCACTGCATGGAAAAGAATATTGTTTAAGTGTGTGATCGAAGCATCTCTTTACCATTGAGTCATGACGTTGTTTTGGATTTCTTAATGTTTCTGCCTGGATAACATCCGAATGTTAAGCCAATTTAAACAGTTCAGTTAGACGGAACGTATGTATGCCACAGTTGCAGCTCCTAGGCCGGACTCGCAAAGTTTAATATACATGTAAAATGACTAATCCCCAAGCAAATTACATTTCGACAATTTTTTTTAGATCCGTTGCGGACTTTGTTTTACTATTGCTCGCATAGACGGTAGGCTACTTAGTGCGATGCATGGGGCCAGCTAAGCTTAGCTTTTCTGAAAACCACGTCAACTGTTTACGTCTTAAGTCCGTGGCTTGTTGCCAGCAAATGTGTGAATGAAGGTTCACTGGTTTATGTATCTGCGTAACAAAATTTCTAAACTTGGCTCTTGACAACAAGAAATGGTGATAATTTATACTTAAAATTTACTTGTCAAATCGTTGACAAATCGTTGCTTGTATTTTAGCAAAGAAAGAAGAAAAAGTGTTTGAATGATATACCGATTTACAAAAAGCAGCAGTTGGAAGTTACAGGAAAAAACAAAGAATTTATGTCAAGCTTGACAACCTGATATTTGCTCACTTACTTTATAGTAAAAGTGACAGCATTTGCAGGTATCCTTATTTTAACGCAATTTAAGAGCGTGCCGGTTCAAAACGCCTTTGAAACAAACAAATAACGGAAGAAACAAACATAAAAACCCTACAAAAAAAGTAATACAATAAAAACCCGTAGCCAATGCTTGACACTTACCTTGTGTTTTAGGTGAATAAAGGTCAATATCATTGTCTCCAGAGCCTACTTGCTCAACATCATCAGCCACATTAACTGAACTTATGTCTGTTGAGCTAGCGCTGAACTCATGAGTTGTATCTGCAACTTAAGGCAAATGATTCCTTTGTTATTTATGTCCAAAATTCCTATCTTTGATTATTCACATACTGTCCAAATTTTATCATATTAGCACTCACTCCCTGAATTGCCTATAATTGCGAACCATTTTTTACAAGGATCGATGACCACAAAAACGAATAATTATTTTATACTTTATGCACTCAAATTTCGAAGGTTCCTCAGACTCACCGCTTGAAAAATCTTTCCTTTCAAAGATGGCCACCAAGTCATCAGTCGTCCAGCACTGGGAAATCTTTTCCTGCTCCTCCATCAACCACTCCTTCCCCTTCAAAATCAGGAGCTGATTCTTTGGCGGTATTCTGGTGGTCTGAGAAATTTTGCGTTTCAATCCCTCGAATGTCGTTTCTGGTGATACAGAAATTGATATATCTGCCGGTTCATCCCGAGTGTAGGAGCAGCTTCATCCCTTTCTGCATCAATTTGTCAATGTCGTTCAACTGGGTTTCGACAGTTTCATATCTCGCTTTTTTTTTGTGATGAGTTGATCTTCTCTTCCTGTGATCTTTGCTGCTTTCGAGAATCTTCCCTTGGTGGCTTCTTACTTTTTGAGTTTTGGTGGGAAAAACTGTTGGTGTTTGGCTTCTCACTTTTTGAGAGCACCTCTTTGGTCCACTTCTTCATAATTGCTTTCCTTTCTGTTTCAGGATCAAAAGGTTCCGAGTCCTCAACACATTTGTTAATACAAGTGTTGAATGGGGTTTCTGTTGTTGTTTTCTTTGCCTTCTTGGTCGGTGGTTTTCCAGAGGCTGAGCACTCGGCGAGACCTTCAAACTCATAATCGTCGGGTTTTGCTGGTTTCCTGCGGCTCCTTACTCCCCATTTGTAGCTAATTTCCGCGTGCTCTCTGTTTTTCTTTAGAAGGTCAAAGAAATCACTGCATTCCTTCTTCGTACCTTGCTTGAGGCATGTTGCTTCATAGTATACCTCCGTAATGCTACCCATAAGTTCATCAACAACACTCCACAGAACTTGAGTGGTTCCGTTTTCCTCTTTAACTTTGTTTGCCGACACAAAATATGGCCCTCTAAATTTCTCTTCTTCTGACGGAAATTCTACTATGTAAAACTGAGTAGCCATCGAGCTTTCACTAAGCACAAGACAATATTGAAGGGTGGTGAAGAGTTTGCAACTGACCGTTGACCAAAAAGGATTACAAATCTCCCACTTATGATTCAGTTGACCTCTCATTGGAATACAGTTAATAGGATACATAAAGTGAAGGTATTTCTTACAACTGCATTACGGACGACAGTTCCACAAACAAAGCAACATTTTATTGATATAAAAGGCTCATCAGTGGTTGTTAAATGCTTGTGCATATACCTGTAAAAGATCAACATGTAAAGGTACATTTCAGCAATTTGTAATGGTTGCCTTAAAATACTGGGATTGTTTGTGATAATTTGATTCCGTGACTTTTTAAAGATGTTTAACACAACTGATGTTTATCTGGAACTTAATTAACAGATATTCAGAGATAAACAACCAAAACTTGTAAATTTGATACCTACCTTGAATTCTTCTTCTGTGTGTTTCGTAAGAGAAACATCATTTGATCTTCCTAAAAGTACCCAAGTACCTTCTCTAATAAGTTTGTTACTGAAGTCATCTCCTGAACTGTAGATTACGTTACTTTGTTCTTACCATTTGTAGACGAGCGTGAATGCTCTCAAGAGCGTCAATACTTTTAATATCACTTGGAACTTAGTCATTTATGTGGCATTCACACGAATTGATTGCATTTCACTCGTGCTTTTAATCATGTATAGAAAGTTGATAAATTAAAATCGAAGAAAAAATTGGTATACATTTTAAGCAGATATTACATCAAAATAGTAAATCCTCGTGTTTTCCAGTTGCTTTTTAGTTATAAATCCTGTATAGCTCAGTGAAAGCACCTTTTTGTGATTGTCAAATGATAAGTGATGACAGACAAGTATACGGTTTCACGAAAGGTTGCGTTTTTACCATGCCAGTTAAAACAGGATGATTTGCGGTTCTCAAGTATGGAGGATTATGAAAGTTCATCGAGTTCTAGTGGCGAGGAAGAACTGCAGCTTCTTTCCGCTCAACACGAAGTTGAAACATCTCAAAAAATATCCAAACAGCTCCAGTACTATTTGTTGTGGTTCGCATCAGCAACGTTCAAGATTTTTATTTTATGAATCAAGCATGCCGAAGGACATGACATGTGCGCGCATGCGCAAGTACATTGAGTTGCGTGACAAACTATGACATCCCCCTTCTTTCCAAATAAGGAGGGAGGAGGACAACTTGTAAAACAAAATACGCACAATAGAAGCTAACGAAATCAAACAAAAAAAAGAAGAAAATTAAGCAATGTTCACTGTCCATGTAAATGTTCGTGATCCTAAACTGCAACAATAACTTGGTAAGAAATCAGTTTTGAGTTCAGTTTATAGGTTCAACTTGACAGGGGGTTTGATCACCCTGGTGGAACGACGCAGTGTACCGGTAGCTTTTCCGGTCAAGGAACCTGGTGTGGTTGCCGGGCTAGGTGCCAGGGATGTTGGTGTGGCCTGTTCGCTTGTAGGGGTGCTTTCATTAGATAGTGCACTTGGTGAGGTGGTGCAGGTTTCAGGTTGCGGTGCTAGTGGGGGCTCTGCAGCTTCAACGTCGCTGCCGTTCTGCAACGTTATGAGTTCCCCTGTAGGGCGGATATGGCGGCGGTTACGCTGGCGGACACTGCCATTTGCCATGTCGACGAGATGCGAGCGAGGCGTCTGCATGTTGCGTCTAACAACACCTGGTTCCCACTTGTGGCTGTGGGGATTGAAGACACGCACGGGGTCTCCAGGGTGTACTGCGGGGAGAGGCTTGGAGGTTTTGTCGTATTGCAACTGTTGCTTTTCCAGCCTTGTTTGGAGTTTGGAGTTGGTATCTCCATCTGCTGACAGGGAGAGGCTTGGTTTAGATATTGTTGGAAGGTTGGCTTGGTAAACTCTTGAATTTAAGAGTTCTGCTGGCGACGAAATGCTGTGATCAAGAGGGGTGCTTCGCAGGCATAGCATAGCGAGATGAGGGTCTGCACCAGATTCCTTGCACTTTTGCAAAAGGTTCTTTACCGTTTGCACTGTTCTCTCGATAAAACCATTAGCCTGTGGGAAATATGGGCTAGTGGTTGTGTGGACAAATCCATAGCTACTGCTAAACTCCTGGAATATGGCGGAGGTGAACTGAGCATCATTGCCAGTGACAAGTTTGCTTGGAATGCCATGCTCTTCAAATATGGATTTCAGGTTGGCAATTGTTGTGTCTGATCGGATATTGTTCAACTTCCTCACTAGGGGAAACTTGCTGTAGTAATCAGATACTAGCAAATAGGGCGAGTTGTTCCAAAAGAACAAGTCAGAACCAAGGGTGTGCCAAGGTTTTTGTGGAACATCGTAGGGCATGAGGGGCTCCTTCACGTTCATGTTTTGGTTATGTTGGCATGGAGCACAGCCTTTTACCATTTCTTCAATGTCCCGGTTTATGTTGGCCCAGAACACTGATCCCTTGGCACGGAGTTTGCACTTTTCTGCGCCCTGGTGTGCGTAGTGCAGCTGCTGCAATACGGCGGGTTGTAGGCGTTTAGGGATAATGATACGTGTTCCCTTCAGGACTATGCCATCTGCGATGGTTAGTTCATCGCGATAATTCCAGTATGCATGAAGGTGTGCTGGGCATTCCGATCTCGTATCGGGCCAACCTTGCGTGATAAATGCACGGAGTGAGAGGAGAGGTTCATCTTTAGTTGTTTCCTCTTTGATTTCGTTGATCCTTGTTGGGGTGGCATTCAGGTGGAGGTGGAGTTCATGGACTGAGACATCAAGCCCTTCAATTGTGTCACCTGGGAGGGGGCTGATTCGAGACAGTGCGTCAGCCAGTGGAACATTCTTTCCTGGCACATACTTTATTTCCGCATCATACTTTTGAATCCTAAGCATCATTCTTGCGATGCGTGGCAGAGAGGACGAGAGATGTTTCCTGAAAATCGCCTCTAACGGCTTGTGGTCTGTCTCAACAATGACGTGTCGGCCATATGCATAGTAGTGAAACTTCTCGAGGCCATGTACAATAGCAAGCATTTCTCTTTCAATGTTTGAATAACGGGTTTTAGTTGCAGTGAGGAGCTTGCTTCTGTATTCAATAGGGCCTTTGTCTTGAAAGAGAGTCGCACCAAGACCACGCATGGATGCATCAACTTGGATGGTGACTGGCTTTGTACTGTCGAAGTACTGGAGTGAGCTGGTGGAAGTGACTGCCTTTTTGATCTTGTCGACGGCTGACTGGTGTTCTGGGCCCCACTGGAAGTCGCTGCTCTTCTTTGTCAGATCCCAGAGGTTAGCTGATAGGGAAGCTAGGTTGGGTACAAAACGACTGAGGAACTGTACCATGCCGAGAAAGGTTTGTAGGTCAGCAGGGCTCGCTGAGGGGTCCACGTTGGTGATTGCTTTCGTCTTCTGTGGGTCTGGCCGAAGGCCGCGGTCACTGATGATATTTCCAAAGAAGGGTATCTCAGTGCACCTTATCTTACACTTGTCTCGATTGAAGCGGAGGCCAGTTTCGCGTGCTCGTTCCATAACTGCTGTTAAGTTTGCATCATGCTCACTCTAGTCACGCCCATAGATAACTATGTCGTTGGCGATACCCGTGACGCCTGGGAGATCGCCGAATGCCTCGTCTACTTTTTTCTGGAAGACGTCCTGGGCACAGATGAGGCCGAATGGGAGCCGCAGGAACCTGTACCGCCCATGAGGTGAGTTGAAGGTGGTGCACAAGGAGCTCTCGTGGTCGAGTAGGATGTTCCAGTAACCAGTACGGGCGTCAACAATAGAGAAGTATTTGGTGCCACTTAACCGTGGTAAGACCTCGTCGAGCGTGGGGGTGCGGTGATGTGGCCGCTTGATAGCGCGGTTGAGGTCCTTAGGGTCTAGGCACAGCCGAAGTGTGCCATTGCTCTTTGTAACGCAGACCAATGAATTAACCCAGTCAGTGGGTTCGTCTACTTTGGTGATGATGCCCTGCTGGACAAGGGCGTCAAGTTCCCTTTTTAGTGGTTCACGCAGTGCCTCGGGTACTCGCCGTGGGGGGTGGATGACGGGTGGAACCGTAGGGTCCAAGGTAATGTGGAACTCCCCTTGAAAACAGCCAACGCCCGTAAAACAGTCTTTGTACTGGATGAGTAGCTCTTTCTTTGCATCGGCATCGCCAGGGGGTTTCTGTGTGGGCTTTGTTGCCTCTGGCGAGGTGGCAGTGGTGAGGCTGTAGTTGAGGGTGACGAGTTTCATATCCCTGCAGGTAGGGAGGCCGAGGATCGTTGGCCCAGTAGTGTTCACCACGTGAAAAGGGTACGGCTTGGAGTGGCCGTTGTGTGATAAGTTAAGTTCGCAAGTTCCATAGTGCTGTATAGTGTGGCCACCGAAGGCAGTAATTGTTGTGTTAGAAGGACACAAACCGAGAGGTGCACCATCTGGGCTGTATGCTGACTGCGGATACAGCTGTTTGTACGTGTCGACAGGGATGACATTGCCTTCGGCTCCTGTATCGATTTTGCACAGTAGGGGCATGGTGCGCTGACCTGCGTTCACTTCTAGCTGTAATAAGGCCTGAGTGTCCCTTTCGACAACACTGTCGATATGCAGGGAGTGAAAATACAGTTGCGGGGTATCTAGCGTGTGTGGAACATCGATATTCTGTACTGTTGGATAGTCGGTGTTGGGCTCAGTGGTGTCTATGGCATGTACACCTTGTTTTGGCCTGCGCTGTTTACCCCTGGATGTCTCATAACTGGTTTTGGCCCTTGGGCGGGAATGACAAACAGATCTCCAATGGCCAAGCTTGCCGCAGGCATCACATTTTGTTCCATATGCTGGGCACGATCTACGGGGTGGATCGTGGAAGGTGCCACAATTTCCACACTTTTCGCCTTGGGTACCCTGCGCTGGTGGTGTGCTCATGTTGGGTGCCCTGTATCGTGTGTTTCGGCCATGTTGTTGTCTCAGAGCATCGACTGTGGTGATTTGGCTGCCTCTGATGTCCTGTAATTGAGTACTCGTGGCTTCCTGGGTTCTGGCGATGCCCACTGCTTTGTTAAGTGTCAGAGTGGCATCGTACTCGAGGAGTTTTGATTGAACGCGCGGGTTGTTCGATCCGAAGATGAGAGCGTCGATGATGTGTTCGTCGGGGTTCGTGTACTTGCACTCGTTTACTAAAATTCGTACTTTCTTGAGGAATGAATTGACTGATTCACCAGTTCCCTGCTTCAGGTTGCGGAGTTTGTAGCGTCCAAGCCTAAAGTTGCTTCTCGGCGCCACGAAATCCTCGAACTTTTCCCAGTATGTGCTGAGCTGTTTCTTTTCATCGGCTGTTAGCGACCACGTGGAAACTAGCTCGATTCCTTCTTCGCCTGACCATATTAAGAGGTAGCTGACTTGCTCTTCCTCGCTTTTTCCTTTTAGCGGACCAGTGAAATAAAGCTGACAGAGGCTTTTGAATTTCTTAAAGGCTTGTGGCGTGTCGGTTGAGGACCAATCCATTCGTGGAATGGGTAGTCCGGCGAGCTCTGCCATATTAATGCTTGCTTGCCACGTAGTGTTTTGTATCGAACGGGTGTAGCGACGAACGGGGACAAATGCTGGATAGACCGTGGACGGAGACAACGAACTAACTGGTTTCGGGGTTGTTATCTCACTTCTGACACCATGTTGTGGTTCGCATCAGCAACGTTCAAGATTTTTATTTTATGAATCAAGCATGCCGAAGGACATGACATGTGCGCGCATGCGCAAGTACATTGAGTTGCGTGACAAGCTATGACACTATTATAGAAGAACAAAGGATAAGCGGAAAAGGAAATACACACTGTTGACAGATCAAGGAAATCCAAGCAGACAGCTGAAGAAGCATCATGCTACCAAGGCAAACTCCTCCAACATCTCAATGGATCCTGCTGCTTCCGAAACAACCCGGCAGCAATAATTGTGACAACTGTGAATTTGGGACAAATGCATGCAACAAAGGCTCTCTTCATCACGGCTCAGAAGATGATGACACTACCCTCGATGCCACACTTTCTACGGATGAAAGTGAGGAATCATCTTCGTTAAGTGAAGGCGACTCATCTCGATCTTCTGAAAGTGAAGACTTCAAAGAGTCCGAAGAGGTGAATTTACAACAGGAAAATGAAACCTCGCAATCACAAGAGGAGCCGCTATATCAAGGTAGAAAAATATCAAAAATCCTGTCGTTTGTCTTAATTGTTAGTTAGACTATCCATGTTGAAATCTCGTCATATGGATTTGAAATCACAATGAACGCAGTCGAAATAGCATCATTTGAACTTGAAGTTGCTTTGAACAAGTTGAAACTACAAAGAGAAAACTCGACATCGCGGATGTTGAAGTTGAAATCACCATTCCAACTAAAATGCAAATTACATGATTTGAACTTCAATTCACCTTGTCCACTCTAATAAGCCACTTAATCGTCAACAATGCAACCATAATCTTCCACAAAATTCCAAAATGGAACCTTTAATTTGAACTTAAAGCCTAAGGGGGAGGGGGGGGTGGTGAAGTTCTCGGTCCTTAAATAGGGTATCTTTTTTGACCCTTTTGTTTCTGTGTCCCTGGTGTGGTCCTTAGGTAGGGTAGCTTAATTGTATTATCTAATACTGGAGTGTGAAAACACCCGCCGGTTATGATTGCATATTATTAAACTAGGCTTATTCTAGTATTTCATGCTTGATGCTATACATATAATGTTACAGAGAAGAAATAAAGTTTTCCTTTGCATGCTATTAATAATTTTGTTTTTTCCTTGAATAGGGCGTCATTTTTCGGCTTTGGGCCTTAAAAAGGTATCATTTTTCGCTTTCTTAGTCCTTAAATAGGGTTAGGGTTCACGAACCTTCACGGCACACCCCTATCCAAAATTAGCAGTAGTACCCCCCTCCCCAGGACTTAAAGTCACATCACATATTCGAATTCGAAAAACCAAAATTTCAATTCCAGAGGAAGCGGAAATAAAAATACACAGGAACAGAGTAACAACTAGGTACAACTCTACAGATGGGAAGCTTGGAACCTGAGCTTTCCTCATCTCTGATGTGATCATCGTCATGGCTGCATGATGGCTACCGAACAACGAGGAGTTTTTCGTTGGACTGGTTAGACTGTTAGAAACATCAGAAAGTAATTTAAACTCAGCATCATATGATAATGCTGAATTTTTATTTCGTCGACTTAATGCTCAGGAGAAAACTTTGTCAACTCTGCTAACAGTGTTGACAAGCCTAAACGACTCCTGCAGTTCGCGGATGAAGAAAAGCTTTCATGGCTTAGCTTTAACTAGGATGTCCTTAAGGGATTTTCCCTTACGATATGAGATGATGAGGGGCTCCTTAAAGATTTCTCTCAGTTACGGTTGATTTTCTATATAATTGCCATTTCCCCATGAGTGTGTCCTTTAGGTTAGGCAACGCCGGATGGTATTGTGTTACAAAGGGCAGTATTTTCTTAGGTGCGGTTTTTGTTTTTCTTCGCTAGCGACATTTCTCTATCAGAGAATTTAATCTCTGAAAGGTGTTTTTCTACAATTCTAGCTGGGTTAATCTCTATTATGCAGGCGTGTTTTGAAATTACTCATGTTTTTCTCGAAAGTAAATTCAGAGGAATTTGTTCTCAGAAGCCTTAACGCTTCTCCTTTTATAAAGTTTAAGTTTGCCACTACAGCCTTCACAATCTGTTGGATTGTCCTAGAGTCCCCCTTATCATTGACATTGTCTGTCATATTGACCAGAGAGCTCGAGTGAAGGGAAATCTTTTTGCGCCAAAATGCAGTTATGCAAACATCCTGTATGTACAGTGTAGGGAAAGTCTTATCATTTCCGGTTCCTGTGTATTTTTACCTCCGCTTCCGTTGGAATTGAAATTTTGGTTTTTCGAATTTGAATATGTGACGTGACTTTAAGTTCAAATTAGAGGTTTCATTTGGAATTTTGTGGAAGATTATGGTTGCTTTGTTGACGATTAAGTGGCTTACTAGAGTGGAGAAGGTGAATTGAAGTTCAAATCATGTAATTTGCATTTTAGTTGGAATGGTGATTTCAACTTCAACATCCGCGATGTCAAGTTCGAATGATGCTATTTCGACGGCATTCATTGCGATTTCAAATTCATATGATGAGATTTCGACATGGATAGTCTAATTTTTGAACTTCAAATTGTCTTTTATTTTCAATTATTTTTGTCAGCAAATGTACGCCATAGTTTTGTTGCCAAGCACAACTTGAGTAAAGCAGCCTGGGCAGATCTACTTCGATTACTAACAGTTCCTTCTCGGAGAGCGGTGTCAAAGAATTTTTCAGTCAGTTTATTGAATGAAACTGTTCATGAAGGAATATTTTGGATCCAAGGAACGAACAAAGGTTACTACTGTTCAAATTGTTTACAGCAAGTCAAAGATCGATGCGCAAATGACAGTTGCAAAGGAGCGGCTCTGTCAAGTTTTGTGGATTTGCATTTCGAAGAGAAGATAAAAGATTCAAAAGAAAGTTTCTGATTCCTGCATACATTTATTGTGACTAACAGGACCCAAATATGCTAACTTTTTTGTGAATCCGCTCTTCAAGAAGCGGAATTCATGTACCAGACAGTGCACATGGAAATATGAATGTTCGATGCATGCTTTTCGTGGCAACAGCCAATTTGCCAGCCCGGGCAGACTTGATGAACATGAAACACTTCAACGGCAAATGTGCTTGCCACCTTTGCAAGTCAGAAGGAAAAGGTTATGGACTCAACAACATCCACAAATGCTGGCCTTTTCAACAAAACCTTGAGAAAAGGACTCACGAAGATCAGTTGACATATGCGTCAAAGGCCACTCGGGGCTGTGTATAAAAGTGGGACTGGGATATTGGGACGCGTGTGTGGGGACTTGTGACTCGAGGATGCGAGACGAGGGACTTGGGGACATCAAGTATGGGACGCAGGGATGTTGAACGTCAAATACAGGGATGCGGGGACGTCAATGAATGTTGTAAAAATCGGAGGTAAAATGCGACATCTCTTTCAAGATGGTCAACGTTAGATTTTATCGTCCAGAACCACATTGGACACCTTATGATGTTTACACAAAATATTTCCTGGCATTAACTATTGTGATTAGGGTTGGGGTTGATTTCCAGTGTCGGGTAATTTTTCTGTGCATACGTATACGTAAAATTTACGCATGCAAATAAAATAGAGGCAACGTATGAAAGGTCACACGTAAGCGTAAAAGTAGAACTTCGCTCAGCTTCACGTTTAATCTCGACACTTCATGTCTTGCCTCTATTTTATTTATGTGATTAAAATTTACATGACTGCGTTAAGGTGCGTGGCCAAAAATGCGTCAGTGGAAATCAACCTTTAAGTACTGTTGGCGGGCAATTACTGTTACGTTTGCCGCTAAAAATATGTAAAACAAAATAAATATTGTTACAATATGTTGAACCCACCGTGGTGTAGTGGTACAGGCGATAGATTTCAGAGCTAACACTTTGGGGTTCGAAGCTCGCTTATGCTACTTAATTTACCTTCCTTTTTTTTATTTATTTGGAATTGAATGCTGTTATTCTAGATCAATTTTGGCGACCACAACCCACCCTACCCTGCTTAGGGCTCCAATATTCCATCAGCAGGAAGACCAAGACAGTGGTTTCACTTTCTTCAATGCAGGGGGTCTTGACCGAGTCTGCTTCGTAAACAGGCCTGGAGGAACCGTAAGAAGGGTAGGGTGGGTTACCTTCACCAAAATCATCGCATTTATCGCAATAATCATTCACATCCCGCGTCCCCCGCATCCCTGTATTTGACATCCCGCGTCCCATACTTGATGTCCCTAAATCCCTTGTCTCGCGTCCGCGAGTCTCAAGTCCCCACACACGTCCCAATGTCCCTGTCCCCTTGTCCCCGTCCCAGTTTTATACACAGCCGCCACTCAGAGGAAATCAGTGGTGGGAGTGAAAGGGCACTCCATCTTCGCAAAACTGTTGTATCCTTTTGATCTGATTCGATCGTTTGCAATCAATTGGATGCATAGTGTTTGTCTCGGAGTTCTTAAGTATATTATGCAGCGACAAATGTCAGATAGAAACAGAGACAAACCTTTTTATCTAGGAGCAAAGAAGGCATCCATCTCACACCAACTTAAAGCCGCCAGACATTGTCGGAAGATTGCTCAGATCATTAGAAGATCTGAAACACTGGAAAGCCACAGAACTGAAGAACTGGCTATTGCACTATTCGGTGGCAGGTTTGAGAAACAAATTAAATTCACTGTATGCTTTTCACTGGTCTTTGGTTGCAGGCACGATAGGAATTTTGTGTTCCGACTCAATATCCCACGAAGATCTGAGACATGCTGATAGTATGCTTCAGGATTTTGTTCTTTTAATGGGAATATTATATGGGCCGACGCAATGTACAATGAACAGCCACCTTTTGCAACACCTTGCTTATTACGTGTGCGAAGAGGACCGCTGTGGGCTTATAGCTGCTTTGCTTGTGAAAGTATGAACCCCTTCATTAAACCTCTTGTACATGGAACTCATCATGCTATGGGGCAAATTGGATGTGCGACTGGACTATGTTTTGGCTTGGCCAATTACACCAAAACTGTGCTTCAAAAAAGTGATATTTCTAGAAACAGCAAGCGTTTGTTGCAAAGTCTGTCTGGCTATGGAAGAAGTAGTAGAACTTTTGCCAGAGTAAACGGGGGCTTCTTATGCGGCAAAGATGCAAGAAGTCTAGTGGATGACAACATACAGACTTTGGTGAGACTTCATGTCATGACAAATAACTTGCCAGTAGACTATGAAATTGAACCTTGTCGTAGATTTGAAAGCAACGACGGTCAGAAATTTTATTCCCTGAGTGCAAAAGCTTGCAAGACGAATTTATTTGACAGTAGTTGAATATACGGATAAAAATGGCACTGTTTGTTATGGAAGGGCAAAACTCTTTTTAAAGCTGAATGAAAGAGGAATTTGTATATGCAATGCATTAGAGAAAAGCTCTGAACAATTATCCTTTAATGCGTGTGACTGTGATGAAAATGTACAATCTTTGCTTGTCAGTGAGCAAGATAGAAATAGTGTTCGTGACGTCTTAGAAAAATATCACGTCAAATGCTTTGCTCAACATCTTGTTTACATTAAGCTGCGCTTTGGAAGGACTCTCATAATATCTGTGGAGCAAATCAGATGTAAATGCATGTTTTTTGATATTTTAACAAATGTTTGGATTATCTCCCATTTCCCGAATATAATTGAACATAACTAAAACAGTACTAAATAAGTCATGAGCAAAGACCATCGACATTTCAGATTTGTGGAATGTAAATGTTGCGATCGATTGATCATGAAATGATCAAATAACTAAAATAAATGTATCAAGTTATTTTTTAAGGTGCAGAATGAAAATGAGTTAAAACAATTGAGCCGTATTATTTATTATAATTTAGTAGTTTTTTTCAAGTCTGATAAACTTAAGTTCTGCAGTAACAAGCCGAGTCCACTAGAAACTCATTCATTATCTCCAGGTAATTTGGTTTGCGTTAGCGGCACGGCACAATGTCGCTTCATCAGTTGTTTTTTAGACAGATCGATTCGCCTAAGTATTAAAAGCCTCCTGAGGAAAAACAAGGGAGTAGACTGGCTGATGTCTGTAGTTACGTTCAGTGATTACAATGTATGTGCAAAACACTGTATCGGACATTGCAGGAATGAGTTCAGTAAAAAAATTAAGTCGTCGTGCGTAGTAGCGGCTGAGGTCAGTAGACAGTATAAATTGAAATTGTCTCCGAAGATGAAACCTAATGCTCAATTCGTACAATTTTGTTGGTTTCTCTGAAGGTTTTGGTTCTCATAGCAGTTTTTCCCCTTTACCAATGTGGACAATTCTAAGACATAACATTTTTGGTAATAGTGATCACCGTGTGATGAGGCGTGATCACAGGTGTGATCACTCTCATCACGCCTTCTCATACCCGTGATCATGGTGAAAGGAGTGATCCAGGCGTGATTTGTGATCACACTGTGCTCACAAAATATTTTTACTGGGGATATATATAAGAACCTGTTTAGGGTAAATTAAGAAATCCAGGTTCTTATACGAGGTTTTTACTGTACATGTCAGACTGAACATCCCACTGAATTCCTAGGGCATGCTCTACGGCAGATTTTCAATATCAAGCTCTTTGACGGATCCAGCTCTCTTGGACACAGGAACTGACTCAATAACATTACCTAAATTGGAGATCCATTATGTTAAACGGAAACCACCTTTGGAGACCTGCTGATGTAACTGATGGACTAAGCAACTTGCTTGTAGGTCATCCTCCACAGACTTCAAAAGGTGGTGTACATAGGTAGCATCGTCTTATGCAAGAAATTGTGTGGGAAGATATGAAAACTAGAAGAGCCATTCATAAAGTGTGTTCTTACATTTTAAGATCGTTAATAATGTTAGTTAAAGTTATTTATATTTCAAAGTGAGTTTTTTTGTAGGGCAAACTTCGTCAATATGTTATGTTTAAATAAAGAAAACGCAGAACCTCCTTTAATGGCAGGCCAACCAGCTGACCACCTACAGGCTGCACCCCCATTTTCTAAACTTGGGGTGGATTTCTTTGAACCTCTTAAAGAAAAGCAGCTCTGGAAGCGGAAGAAATAAGGTTGCGTTTTCACCTGCCTTCTGACTACAAGAGTACCTCTGGGAGTCGTGCACTCCTTGTCTACCAATTCCTTCATTATGTGTCTTTGAAGGTTTATCACAAAAAGACAAAAACCAACTGTTATCTGCTCATACAACGGCACAAACTTTGTTGGGTCAAACCTTGAAATACAAGAATGTCTTGATAACTGGAATCAAGGCAAAATTGCAAGTACACTGAGTCAAGAAAGAATTCACAAGATGTTCAATCCTCCTGGTGCAATCCACATGGGGGAGGAGGGAACATTTGGTAAGATCTTGCTAGAAAGCTGTAAATGTTGTCCTCTCAAATCAGGTTCTGACCGAAGAAGTATGGCGGACTGCACATTATAGTAAAACTAGTTGTGGCCCTTTTACAAGACTGACTTTATAGCTTTGTTATCCATTAAAACTAGCCAGTGTCAAAAGATACGGCCGTCATCATCACTGACCGCTGACCATCAAAACAAAACAGTTAGTGTCTTACACGATGATGGGTCGGTCAACACCAGTCTTTTGCTAAGAAACCAACCATTTATCATTACTTGCACTCACAACGAACGGTAATGCCTCATTACAAAAATTGTGGCTTCAGTCGAGTTTTCCACGTTAATTGATAACATTTATGGCATATTTGTTACTGTTACAGTTTCTGAGTAAAAAGGGCCATGTTCCAAATAAGTAGTACCTTGTCTCGAATAAGGGCATTCTCTTGAGGTAATAAAAGTAAATAATCACCCCAGGCACTAGATGAAATCATTACGGTAAAAGTTATTCGTTTTGTGATATTATAAAATCTGGAAGCTTTAATCTCTCAACAGCTGACGCCATTTTACTGGTGGTTTGGTGGTATTGTTCTATGATGGATTTTAAGTCAATTAAGGATTTGCTTTTTGATTCTTAACATTTGAAGAAGGGTAACTGGGGATAAATTAGAAAGACGACTTATTCTTCTTGATTGGATTCTGGGTATTGAAGACAAACTCACGATGGTAACTTCTGTATCTTAAGGAGTACCATTTGAAGGGCTGCAAATAATTTCTGTTCATTATGGGCCGCCTCCCTTATTTCTGTCTGAATTGTGTCCTCTTCCCCCTCCTAATCTGATGGTTGATCTACAGCTATGAAAATCCAACTATGACAATCCCATTGGAAATGTCAATATACACCTATGTAGAATTCTTAATATCTTTAATGTAAAAGTGGTTTATAATTCATAGATACAATGTGTAAAGCATAATTAGAGTACTTTTGGAGTTTTGTTTATAAATGAATATTATAGCTAAACTGGTGTTTTAACTCCTAGACTTTTAACAAAACTAATGGGGAAACTTACACTGTTTTGCACCATAATAGTAAAAAATGTGGCGGATTGACTTAATCAACTTTTTTCCCAATGTTTGCAGTCATCTATGGCATTCCAAAGTTGAATGAAAATTTTGCGATAAGGTTTGTTTAAATCTGGAACTGCTTTATGAATATAGAAATGAAACTGACTTAGGAAACTAAAGTGTTAGTTACTGTGTTAATAAATCGAGGCGTTACAAATCGATAATTTCGATACTCGATAAAATCGATTGTAATCGATAATTTTCGATACTAATTACTTGATTAATATCGAAAATCGATAGAAATCGATAGCGGAGGTTTTTGTGATTATCGATTTTGATCGATTTTATCGATTTCTGTAATTATAGTTCGATTTTAATCGATTTCTATCGATTTCTATCAAAAATATCGATTTCGTCAATGGAACTCAGACAAAGAAGAAGACAGAGCTTAAAAGCAAGGAACAAAAGGCAAATGGATATCGTAAGGCCAAAAAACGGGAAATAGTACCCGTTCTTGATATTTCCTGTCAAGGAAACGACGATAAAAGACTGAAAGCAGTTAAAAGACCGGTATAGGCAGTTAAGGACGGACGAGACGTAAAGTTAACCCTAGCCGGTCTTAAACCGCATGCGGTTTGTCGGTGGCTTCAACGTACTGTACTCTGGAGTTAACACATACGCTTTCTTTATCCCACACCTTGAGTCGATAATATAAAATACCTTTAATCAGCCTTAATGTACTGTAAACAAACTACAAAGGTTTTTAAAACTGTAATAATAATGCACTTGTCGCTAGACTCAAAAATTGAAACATGCTCAACGATAACGAGAAAAAAACGCAAAAACGATGCTCGTTCAGTTTTAGGTAAACCAACTTTGTTACGCTGTGAGCGAGTAAATAGAGACCTTTAGATTGGACTACGAGTACGAGATTGAGTACGAGTACGAGTTTTCAAACCAAATTCGTCCGCATCATATAACTACTTATCACACCAATATTATCCCTAACGTTTATTTGTGTGTTAGTCAGCAACAGGAAAGAGTTATAGTTCGGGGGATACAATTATATCGAAATTCCAAAGTCGTACTCGTACTCAATTTCGTACTCGTAGTCAAATCTAAAGGTCGCTAATAAGTAACAACTGTTTCACCAAGTATTTGTTGTAAATTAACTTGAGCGAACAGCCAAGAAGATAACACCTCCATCCACACGCGACGTAAATGAATCAAGTGAGCAAAAAAGGTCATTACACATGAATGACACAACAAAAGGCAATAGACCGCGAGAATAAAAGTTACAATTTGTACGAAAAGAATGCATTGCAAATATGCTCCAACAATTTCCAAGAGAAACAATAGGTGAGAAAGGATC